CACGGTCCCCCCCACGGAGGACACCCGGAGGCGTTTTCGACGCCAGCGGAGGTGCTCCCGAAATCGGCGGGGGGGGGGCGGCGGCGGTATACGGCGGGCAAGCGCACTCGGCGCAGAACGCCCGTTTTGACAGCAGAAATGGCAGCGGCAATGGCGGTGTCAGGGGACACGGGTGGCGAGCTGGAGCGTCAACGCCGCCGCCGCCGCCGCCGTCTCTCCCGCCAGCGTTCGGCGGGCTGGGAGCACTGTCGGTGATCCGCCCGTCAGAAAAGCTCTACATGCACCTGCTCAGCGTGGAGTACTCTCCCTCGGCGGCAGCAGACCGCACCGGAGACACCGCCGGGAGCCTCGCGAGCGACTGGGGGAGCGGCCTCTCCGAAGTCACGTTAGCCAAAGGACTGGTCTCCCTCGCCGAGGCTTGCGGTGGCCAGGGCGGCGGTGACAACTCCCGCGCGGCGGCGGCTGCAGCGGCTGCGGCGGCCCTCGGCGGTGGTGGTGGCGGCGGCGGCGGGGGGGCGGGTGTGGCCCTCGACCGCGAGGAGGCGTTTCGGGTGGCCAACCTCCTGCAGCGTTGCGGGTTCCTGTCGTGGGTGGCGAAGGAGCAGCAGTGGCTGGTGACCGTGCCGGCGGACGTGGAGGTGCTGCGGAGGAGGAGGGATGAGACCATGATGGAGGAGCTGCTCACCAGGTGCCAGGAGGCGGGGGTTCCTTTCGAGCCCACCCTGGCGGCCAACTTGCTTTGGTCCAAGGCGCGACGGTAACCAAGAATGGTCTCTGCTGCTTCATGGGTGATTCGGAATACCACGTGTGCCAGGGGAAGGGGGGGGGGGGGGGTAGCTGTTGTTGGGGGGGGGGGATTGAAACGTCTGCTTTGCTGTTTTGACGTTGGCAGACGAGGGGGGGGGGGGTTATGGAGTCACACGTGGGGGGCGCGATGCTGCAGGATAGAGATGTATCGAGAGTGTATAGGCTTGAATCTTATAGATTTGGTGTGCCGATGCCTGCCGAAGGGGTAGAGACTTGAGAGAGCTCTGTTCCCGCAGGTGGTTGTACCGTGGGTTTGTTTTTTGCGGAGCATCGTCTTCTGGTTGTCGTTTCGTACGGGGGTGCTGCAAGAACCAGTGGCACAATTCCCAACGTTGTATCAGTGCTGTGGGCAGGGATGGCTGCTGAGGTTGGACCTGCCGTGACGCTGTGATTATCTCTGTTAATTTGTGTTGTGTCGGCGGACAATCCCAGGTGCTTGGGCGTGGCTTGGCGTTGATGTCCTTTGTTACATAGCGGTTACTGCTGTCGTTGCTGCTGTGGCCTGGTTGTATGGGGCAAGGTTGTGTGTGTGTGAGCAAGGCGAGGAAAACCTCGAGTGCTTTCCTCCCAAGGTTCGTGCAACCGGCGGTGAAAAGTCCTGTAGCTTTTCGGCGGCGGCGGCGTGCGTGCTCCGGTTGTATGATGCAAGTTTGTTTTTGCTGTGCAATGTCCAATGTTGACATGTGTGTGACTGAAGTGCGTTAGTTGTTTTTTTCCATCAAGGAAATTCGAGTATCAGCGTCCGTTACTTTACAGCCAAGAGGTTTTCAAGTTCCTGTATCTCACTGCTGTCGAGGTAGGGGTATTATTTGCTCGTCACTTCTAAGCCGGGGGATTTATCTCGCCTGCTTTTTGGCGCATGTCCTGCTCGTTCTGGGCGTGTACGGTACGGTTCCAGTTACGCGTGTAATCAGCTATTTTATGGATGTTCGTTGTGAAAGATGGGCAAAAGTTTGGTGGTGTTTTCTTGAGTAGACCCTTGGCCCTCACACATGCATGTACTTGAAAGCTTATAGTTTGGACTTCCGACTGGTGCGTGTCTGAGGTTTTAGACTGTTAACCAGCGCAGCGCGGCGGTGGTTACACCTGGTACAGTCGTCTTTTTCTGTAAATATAGGACAGGATTTTGGCATCCGTAAGTGTATGGCAGGGCTTGGCATTCGTAAATATTTGGCAGGGTTTGGTATTCATCTGGACAACGTCACAACGGCACGCAGCAGCAAGGCTTGTGAGTTGAACGATGTGGCTTGGGGGGGGGGGGGTCTGAGCAAAACGCGGCTAGCAAAACGCGGCTAAGTTTTGCGGAGTTATCGGGTGTGAGGTCGATTATTCAGTAGTTCCGACCGCGTGACGACAGGCTATGTTCAAGGGCCTCTTCACCGTTTGGACGTGCGCGGCGTGATCGGAGTTCGAGACTGTCAGGTGTTGCCGGTGGGATAGAGGGTTCCAAACTGTCAGGACACCGTGCGTGTATGCAAGGAACAAATGGTCTGTTGGTACGTTTTGTGGTTTGTGGTGGGGAGCAACAACCATTGTGGCGTGTTCCCTGGATTTTTTCTCGCGGAACGGAATAACCGTGGTTATTTCGTTGTCGTCATGGAATCGTCCTTCCACCTACATGTTGCGTGAGCGTTTCCAATACAGGTAGGTGTAACCACAAGGCTGTGTTGTTGTAGCAGTCGGCGAAGCCAACGAGCCGGGGCCTCGACGTCCAGATAGCGAGAAACATGCCGGGGTATCACGGCCGCGATTGAGCCGCTGTATGGGTGTGTAGCACGCGAAACGGTTACTTCCTGTTTTGCATGGCGATTCTCCTCTTTCCTCCTCTTTCCTCACATGGAAACACCTTACCGTGCCCCCCCCCCCCCCCGCGCCCCCACCGTGATTGTACTGATTTACATTCGGGGATGTATACTTGAGTCAAGAGAGTGTAAAGCTGTGTAGCCCCCTGTTTGGCCGGGTTTGTTTTGCTCTTTTGGCCGCACGGACTTTGGGTCTGTTTCGGCCTCAAGCACGTCGTAATTAGTCTTGAAAAGGGGGTCGTCTCTCGTGCATTAGGGGGGTGTAGTTCTAGCCTGGGGGGACTCCTGGGGTGTCAATTCTAGGCCTGTCTATCGTCTCCTGCCGCTGTAGTGGTGGGCAAAAGCTGGTGGGAGGGAAAGCTGGAGGCATCTATCGTAATAGTGTTGCCGTGCTGCTAGAAAATAGTCCTTGCAGAGAAATCTCCAGCCTACATCGATAGTAAGTATGTGCCGCTGCTAGAAACAATTACTCCCTTCTGGTCGGGGCTTTTGGAAAACGTGGGACCTATTTTTGGCCCCCCCTACAACTTTACCGTGCAAACGGATCTACTCTGAAATAGTTCTTGCTTCGGCTACGTAGGTCGACTTTACATCAAAGCGGAGCGGTGTCGGATGTGCTATTATTTGTTTGTGGTGGACATGGAGGGGGGGGCGCGGTGCTACACTGAAGGTTGGTGTGTACTTCGCTCGCGAGAGTTGAGACGACGACGCGTAGAGTAGGCCGGATGGGAATGGAGGCGGGGATTTGCTGAGGAGACTCAACCGGCTCGGGGTGCGCTAGCTCCTGCGAAGACGCGCGTGAAAAGAGAGTGTGTGTTGCGCGGTGATTTATGTACGTACACCAACACTTGACCAACTTGCGGTGTGGTGCTGTGCGGTTTATTCTCTTCGCGTGGAACGCCGCAACGGGGTGAAGCACCTAGGGCACATGACGTGGGTGCGCACGAAAGCATACGGGGAAATCATTTTATGGACGTGATGATCAGGACTCAAACTGAGCCGTTGTAGGTGATTATTATTGTGGGAGTTCGTGAGGGCTGTGGTTGGGAGCATTTGAGCATCTGTTTTTGTGATCGAAGTAGGGGGGAGCGGAGAGCAGCCAAGTTGTGGGGGCGGGGAGCGAGCGAGTTGCTGGAGGGAGCGGAGGACCCTTTTTTTGCTCCAACCGCGCCCGCGGTGTAGAGAAAGGGGGCAACCGCATCGTTGCCCCAAACGGTGTCTAGGTATGTCGTGCAGGCGTTGGTGCTGTGCATACCCCGAAAAGAAGAGGGTGCTTGTTCATCGCTTGCCTTGGAATGTGTGTGTGTACCTGTGCGCAACTTGCGGGGCCTTCAAGGCGGGTTAGTGTGTACTCTTCTCTTCTATTTGTTTGACCCGCCCTCGAGGTTGTGAACGCAAGCTAAGCCTTGATGTTGCTTATAAACTAGTATCGGCAAGATGTTTTGGTGTGTGCTGTACAGATGCGAATCAAGAACAAATGAATCCAGAGCCGAATGCCGTCCGCGGAGTTTCAGTCGCGGTGGCCGACGACACCGCCGCCCATGTCATGTAGAAACCCCAACGGTCGAGCTTGATATGTATATTCCTGGAGATGGCTGAGTGTAGGAGGAGTCTGTCTTTTTTGTCCAGGCGTCCGCGTCCGTTGGAACGGTTGCGGGTGTATCAGAAGGTCGGGATGGCTTTTTGTGTGGAATACAGCAACAACAACAACAACAACAACAACAACGCTGGGTCGTGAAGGTGTTGAAACAGAGAGGTACTCCTCGAAGCGATGCGTGTTTGGTCGTTTCGGCCGACCTCGTGCTACCACAGCAAGCGAAAAAGTGTGTGCGGCGACTCGCACTGCTTGTTCATCGAAGCGCGGGCCAAGCGCATTCCGTTCGTGCTGGGCTGCGCCCCCCCCCCCCCCCTCCGTCCCGGCTTTGTAGGGATGCGAGGTCAATGGTCAAACGACTACGGCATGCACGACTATGAGTACACCCCGCCCCCCGCCCCCCCAAAAAAGGCGAACCGCCGAGTTTTCATATTTCCCACGCACCACATGCCTCCATTATAGCATGTTTTTCGCCAACGAGGGCGCCAGAAAAAGTTCCCCGTGGCGGGAAAAGTGTGCGGTGGTTGCGCTTTCGTCTGTTCGACTTCCGCCGCACGTGACCCAATTCATGTGCACAAACAACACACAACCGCACACCATTACTTGAAACACAGTAGAAAAATAGCTGCTTGCCGGCCTCTATAAGCCTAGCCCCCGAACCCCCCCCCTCGTCCAACTACCGTTCCGAGGCAAATAAAGGTCCTCGGGTGGGCTCTTCCTACGGGCAGCAGCCCAGGCCACAAAGTACCTTATCCCCAAACTATACCACCGGCTCACGCGCTGATGGCAACAACACAGGGAAACTCGGAGCATGATGCCTCCGCGTGGCGGACATTCTCTCCCGTGTTTTCTTTGCAAAGAAGGTGCGCCGCCCACAGTCGCGCCGTCGACGAAGCAACAAGCGGTCATCGTCGTCGTGCCAACACACAAGCCCCCGTGTGACAACAACAACAACGAGACAGAGCGATGGGGATTTCTGGCAAAGAGCCAACGTGCCGGCTACAGCAGCACCGTGCCGAACAAACCGTCGGAAGTATCACAGCGCTGCTCCTCTAACGCAAGCAACCGTGCCGACCCCGCCTACAAACACGCACGCGTGTTGAAACCCCCCCCGCAAGAGATTCAATTTAGCCCAGAGGCGCGACGACAACGACACAGAGACAAACAAGCCACCACGATTTTCTTCAGACCACCATCGGGGTAAGACTACCCAACGACCAGCCCCGCACCCGGAACTGCAAAAAAAAAAACGAAATAAGTTGTCCACACGAACGGGGGGGAAAGCAAGCATCCAACAACCGCGTGCGGCCGGAGTCAAATGGGAAGTTGTCCCCTGGAGAAGCGGACGGACGTGGTGCCGAGGACGCAGGGTAGGCTTCCCCACACACTTGTACCACTCTACAACTACGAATGCGCACAACATCGGCCTCCTCCTCCTCGGTTAGCGCTTGTCTGTCCTTATCGTTAGTACGGGCCCGTATCATGGTGGCAAACTAAAAAACAACTACCATTCTTCCTACGAGAGAACTTTCACATCCCTAAGAAACACAACCACCACCCCCCAACACACACATCCCCAAGCGAAAACACCAAGAACGGGTGGGGCCATCACTTGAGAACCCCACAATTTGCCGGAATGTCGAGATGATACTGTTTATGTTTACCTTGGACTACAACCAAGCCGTTCTTCATGATACTTCACGCTTTGAGTGTGAGGGGTCGTCAACCCAGCACATCACTTGCACAGAAACAAAAATTGCGTCCGACCTAAAATGTTGCAAGCATTGTGCCTCAAATCTCTTGATCTTGATTGCCGAGTTCTTGAGTTGTGGCGTTACCCTCGTATTAAACCTACACATAGCTGATCTGCTCCCGTATACCACGCGCGCCTTGCGGTCCCTATACCTTCGCGTCGAAATCTCTCCAGCCCTGTCTAGTGCGCTCCCGTTCATGCGTGCCGACTTCTCCCATTGCCATTCTAATAATTGTCCTTTTGTCCCTGATTTTTCCGAACTATTTCAATCCGTCTCCCCGCAACTGCGGCACACGGGTGCTACCCACCCCCCCCCCGCGCGCGCGCTATGGGGTCAACAAATAACGCCCACAGGCGAAACCTGACGCTCTTTGCTGCTGCAAGTAGACCCGGGCGGGCGGTTCCTCCCGCAAGAGGCACCACTCACAAAACAACAGCAACGTCCCCCACGAACACCACAAAACAGAGACGTCAAAAACTAAACTGAACTCTTCAAAAAAAACATGTGACCAGGCAAGAGTCAACTCCACATGGCCTCACTCCCTTCTTGTCTATCTCGTTTGTGGCGGAATTTTGGTTTCCGTTGCAGAAGTCGGACGATGGAGAAACAACACACGCCTCCTTAGAAAGTAAATTCTTACGCTCGTCTTTTCATCTAATCCGTCAAGTCTGATGAACCGATCGCAATCGAAGTTGTAAAGCTGCCCATCCATCCGAAACCCACCAACCAGCAACCACGGCAAACAGCTGATCCAATCAGAACCGACCCAAGAATTGCGACAAGGACCGATTCGACCATGAAAAGAGAGCCGGATGTTAAATTAACCACAACAGATCAACAGCCCATCAAGCACGCCGTGGGAATAATCACCACCAACGTCATCATCGTCGCTGCCGGAAACTCTTGATCCGCCGCACGAGCTCCATCTCCTCCAGGTCCGCCCCCATCCCTTCCCCAAGGTCGCTGCGCCTGAGCACCCCGGTGGAGTTCGCCGGGGTCCTGAAGAAGCACGACCCCATCCCCGGGTCGATGTCATCGTCAGTGTAGCCGGTCCGTCGCCACTCCCGCTTCCTTCCCCACTCGTTCCCGAACATCACCGTCGGGGGCACGCCCGCGGGGCCCCCTACCCCCCACCCCGTGTCGGAGTGGTCCCGACGTCGGCTGCTTCCCCCCGCGCCGGTGCCTCCCCGAGGGGTCCATTCCTGCGCTAGCCCCAGAGGAGCGCCGGTGTCTTCGTAGCGCCGACGATCCGCGCCTTCGATTGTGAACCGGTCAGGCCCGGCGGCCGGTGTCGGTTGTGCCATCGGTGGCGGCGGCGGTACGCCGTGCGAGGTAGCTTCCCGCCGCGTGGTTCGCCGACTCGCTTCGTCATGGAACCACGTCCCGCTGCCTCCTCTGTTGTCCCACGCCCCGTCCCTCCCACGCACGACACCTTCCGAGCCCCCGATACCGCCGCCGCTGTACGCGCTCGTGTCTGCTGTTCCCCCGCCACCCACGCGTCGCCGCGTATTCCTCTCCCAACTGCCGTTGCCGCGGCCGGCACGAGATCTTGGGCTGTCGTGCCTGCGTCGGGGGGGGGATGATTGGGAGTGAACCCCGCCGGAGGCATCCATCTGGAAACCGGCCGCAAGGGCTAGCCTCGCTGGGTCTCCCCCAGCGGTGGAGGCGTAGAGCTTGTCGACTCGAGCGAGGGCGTTCTCGATGGCCGCCGTTTCGACGTACCTGGTTTACATATGTACACGCGAGGGCAACAGAAGCAACAGCGAAGAATGTGGAAAGGGGTGACATATGACGGAGGTGACGCCAGGGGCGGCGCAAGTAACAAAACAACAAACAGCGGCAGAGTTCTCCACCACAAGATCAACAAGAGTGGGCACGTCGGATACATACCTCGAAAACAACCAAGACATCGCGCAAAATCGACATAACTCGTCTCCAACAAACTGCCCAAATCCAGTAGCCTCTTATTGGCCGAAAATACACATGAGCCTCACAAGCTTAACTAACGTGAAAGAAACACAACATGATCCCTAAGCCCTGTTCCAGGAGGAAAGCTCTTGGTCGTTTTCACCCCTTCCGAAAACGAAGTTTCAAACGTCTTTCGACATGTTTACATGGCTCCCGAAAAAACAAAACAAACAAACGCACGCGAGTGAGTTTCTAAACACACCCCTTGGATGCTGTTTCCGTACCACTAACCTTCCTGTATACGCGAAACGGCACACGTTGCGCCGACTCAGTTCCTCCAGGCTCAAGAAGGGCAGCTCGTGGCCCCACCGCAGGAACCGAACCGGCCGTCCGGTCCGCTCTGCTTGCTCTAGCGCTCCCCGGTAGTCCCTCGCCTAAACCGAGTTAGTGCCGGTTCACCAACCATCGGTCACAGGGGGTGGGTGGGTGGGTGGGTGGGGGCGTACTCTTATGTTTTGCATGCCTTAGCGGTTAGGTCATTGACCACGCGTCCTCGAGAGGACGGACCATTGTTCCCACAGGACCGATCACCGATGGCCAATCGTTCCTTCCACGGGGGGGGGGGGCAGAAGAAGCATCAGTGTAGAGGGCGTGGGTGATGTGTCTCAGGGGCAGGATAAACACAAGCGCGAGGTTACAGCTCGAGCCGCGTGCAAACTTTTCTCGGTAGGCTGCAAAACTCCGAGGGGGGACGAATTTCGAAACCGATACACCAAGCAGGCAGAGGCGACGGCGGAAGCAAGATGAGTAGGATTGTGGAGGGATATTCCACGTGATCAGCTTCAGCTAGTTCTCGTTAGCACACCAGGTCCCACCGCCCCAGAGCCACGCTGCCACGACCCACAGGGAAAGCCAACACCTACGTGAAACTATAATAGGCTACAATTCACCACACAAGTATATGCAACCAAATTGATCGTGTGCCGCGCTCTACCACGAGCACACCAGGCAAACAAATTGAGTACGCACAACTTGACGGAGTCAAGCTTTCAACTACCAGCCACAAACCTGGGTATTGGTGTTCCCCCACGCCACTAGCCCGTCCTCGTCCGTCGCAGCGGCCGCCAACCTCTCCTGGCTGGACGAGATGGCGTCAGGGAAGAGGTTTTCCCTCACGAAAACGTCTACGGTGGGGGTGGAAATCCTCACGTTGTCCGACACCGCGCTCTCTACGGCCCTGCAGAGAGCCGCGATGGCTGCCGGCGACGCCTGCCGACGACGACGGTTCAGCGCACAGGTAGAGGAGGGGGTGTACTCATGTTGCCGTAGGCTGCGCGTATCGCGGCAGTCGCCCGCATCTAATGAGCAATTTCCAGCACACCGTATATTTTCACTGCCGCCGAATGTACGCATGCAATTGTTGAACCCTCTCGCCTGCAGGGATCACCGCCGCAGTCACCAGAATGGAAGGACACGCAACACACGCGTTCGCCTAGAGGAGGCCCAGTAGTAGCACAAGAAAAGAGTCAACGGCTACGACAACGACCACGGTTCTTGCCCAACTTCGATCACAGGAAAAGCGGCAGCGCGGCAGCAACAGCTCTGTAACCTGTTCAACGGTGGGGAGGCTGGAACAAACCTACCCAAGACAACCTCCCGAAATCTCTTCTCTGAGACATGCTCCCACTGCTTGTGACACGCGTACGCCATCACACCTTCCCCCGTCTGCCAAAATACTCCCTCCGTTAAACGTACCTGACCCCTGCACTCCCCCAGCCGGCCCGCAAACTCCTCTGCAGAGATGTGCCCCTCAAGCCGAAAGGTCACCAGTCGGGTTTCCACGCAACCGGGGTCGCCGAGGCGATCGCTCAGGGGGCGCTGCGCCAGCAGTAAATCTTCCGGGCTACCCCGGGCGCAGCCGCCTAGCAAGAGAGCCGTGGGGATCTTGTGGTACACCTGTGGGAGTAACGGGCAAAATTCGGAGTGAACATGTGGAAACACGAGCCTCGCGGCCAGCAGGAATGTTGTCGTTTGTTGTTGCTGTTACCGGTAGTGGTGGTGTGTCCACATTGAGAATCTTCATTTGTCCTGTACCACCTTCTAACACCCGTGCTTGTCCAACTGACGCGGACGCCTTCTGCGTCGCAGGCAGACTTCCATGTTTTCCGGAAGCGGGGCACAACACACACAACAGCATGTCGCGCAAGAAGGAGTAGACTATTAATATCTATGTGGTATTATAGAGAGAGCAACCACTCCTCGGCACGAAAAACAGCACACATAAGAAGACATGCGCAATCATCGTTACACGTGTTGGTTCTCACCGAAGGATGGTCATCGATTGTGATATCTGCAACGGATGGGACAGCAGCAGCAGCAGCAGCAGCAGCAGCAGTGTTACCGCTGGTCATGCCGCCGCCCCCGCTGCTTCTGCGCTCCTCTCGAGCCGCCTCACTCTTCGCCGCCAGCGCCCTCAGCAGGCTAGTCTTCCCGGCGCACTGCGGACCGATTGTCACCAGCAGCGCAGGCCGGTTTGTTGCCGCCTCTGCCCCCGCCACCGCGCCCATGCACACAGCAGTGGGATCGCCGCGTACCATCATCCCCCACGAACCGTTCGGAGAACGCCCGTCGTCGCTGTTGCGGACACCGTGAGAACGAGAGGCGAAGCCAGAGCTTGCCCAGAGGAAGTCGTTTCGCCAGCTGCTGCTGTGACGAGCAGACGACGCGTCGTGGCCTCGCGAAGCTGTGGGGAGCTGCGACCACTGCTGCTGCTGCTGCTGCGACCACCCCTGCGGACGCTGCTGTTGCTGTTGCTGTTGAGCGGGCGGTTGGCGGCGCGTCATCAACGGCTGTTGCTGCTGCCGCAATGTGCTGCTGCTGCTGGTGCTGCTGCTCGCCACCCGCCACCCAGGGGAGGCAACGAACGCGGTAGTTGACGACAGTGCTGCTGAGCCACGAAGAGGCGATCCGCCCCGGTTCCCGGTGCCAGTGGTCACTCCCCTACTACCGCTATACATACTAGTCCTGCGGCGGTTTGTGCCTTCCACGCGGCGATACGGCAGCGGAGACGGTCGATTGAGAAAATCAGCGCCCATCGCGCTCGACGCTGCAGCAGCAGCAGCAGCAGCAGCAGCAGCAGCAGCAGCAGAGCCCGAGTCTCCCCTGCGCTCCTCTGTTCTTGCATATCCCTCGCCGCCATGGTGGCGGTAGGTGTGGTGCATTGAGTCCTTGTTGTCGCCGAACGCTGCAAGAGCAGCGCCACCTGCTACGAGGAACAAATAAAGCGCACAGAGGAGGCGCTGATGAGGCTGGCTCCCGCGCGCTCTCGACGACCTAATACACCGGCTGCGGCGCGAACTTCTTCGTGTCGTTGCTCCTCGCATTGCAGCAACACCCCTTGAGAGAGCAGAGGAAACGAGGGGACAGCGCAACAACGTATCGCGTGTTGTCTGCACATGTGTGATGTGTGTGCTGGTTTGAGTTCCTGACCAAGCTAGCTCGGGGGCACCGCGGAATGCACGATCTCCGCCTTTTTTATGCACGCAGGTCGCCGCGTCTCCGAAGGTGCAAAATGGGCCGTCGATCTACCTTTTCTACCCTCAGCCTGCTCTGCTGCTGCTGTGCACGCGCTCCGCGATCGTCACGACTCGCAGTGTTCCTCCCTCTCTCGGCGAGATGCCGATCGAGCGATGGGCCGTGGTCTCCCGGAATGGTGAAGCCGGCTGGTGCGGGCGTCGGAAGCACCAGGTGGTTTCGCACAGAGGTTCCCTGTTCCTCCTGGGTGGATTCACGTCTGGAGGGGTGCTGGGGACTGCTGGTGCCGGCCGTAACGCCAACCTCCATGATGTCTGGAAGTCGACTGATGGAGCGGTGCGTGCCGTGTTTTGTGCGATACTCTTCCCGTCTTTCTTGCCGCTGGGTTGTTGTGTGCATCACAAAGGCAGTTTTTTCTGTGCTGCAACGGCGGTATTCATAGTCTTCATGTGCTGCAGCAGCATCCTTGGGGACTTTCTGTTGTACATACAATAGACAGGACAGGCAACACACACCATGAAGGCACGTATGGACACAACAGGTGCCCGGCGACCGGTCATCATTTTTCGGACTGGGCAGGGTCAGGAACGTTGAAAGTGCTCTTGCACGAACCTTCGGACAGACCAAAGCGCTGGTGGCTGTGTAGCATTCGACTCGAAAGCTCGGGGTCTGTCCGAGCTTGGTCGCATGCATGTTCGGCGATCGTGCAATGCGGGGAAACTTACCGTAGGTGACACAAGATACCACACCCCCTGGACCAATTTTTCAAAGCTCCGCTGCTCCAAGAAGAAGAAGATACCAGCTCATTTCGTTGCGTTTTCGGAAAGATCTGGACGGGATGGTTCCAACGCCGCCATTTTCGCCTCTGCCAATCTTTCTGCTGCGGAGTAATCAAGCTTTGAAAATGGAAAATCGGTCCAGGGGGCGTGGTATCTTGTGACACCTACGGTAATTCCTCCGGCGGTTTTTCATCACCTACACAGATGTTTCTGTAGGTCGTACCACCTCAAAGTATTTGTGAAGCACGAAGAGGTCATCGCGCACTGCTGTATCCCTATTTCCTGCCAGTTTGTGTTTTTGCAGCAAATCGTGATCTCGACTTCGCCTGCTAACTGAACGATTTCCACCGTGGTCTGCACGGCGGTATTGCACGGTCAATGTCCATGCATGTTTCACGACGTCCCGTGCCCTCTTTCAGGCGTGGGTGCGGCTACTCGAGCACGCGCCTTGGAGCGGCAGAGACGGACACGCGGCGCTGACCCACAACGGAGCCATTTTTCTCATGGGCGGCACGCAGGACCCACGCAACAACTTCAGCGATGTGTGGAGATCGGTGAACGGCAAGGATTGGGTCCAGGTAGGTGTAGGCATATGTTTGTTGTTCTGCCGGGTGTGACGTTTGGGCTACGGCCGCGGTCCGCTGGTGTGCTCGAGGTTTGTTTCATGAATTCATGAAGCAGATTGTAGGCGGATCGAATCATATACGAACTTTAGAATAGACGTTTTGTGCCTCAACTATATCTGCGTTGGACGGCCCGATTTCTTCCGATGTTGAAGACCACAGCTGGGGACAGCCAATACAGCAGTAGTAATGGTCCGTGTATACGGCCGCATAGCCCAAGGGTTTTAGCGAGCCTTATACCGGGCACCTGGTAGGCACGTTTTAGAGAATTACGGGACAATTTGAATATTCCATCCGTACCGCGTACATATATATATATACAGCAGTTAAACAGGGAAATCGCCCTTATTTTTGCAGCCTTCCACGGGGACCCCTCCTGCTGCTGTAGATATGTAGAACAGCCCAGAGAATGGACCACTTGCCTTTAGTAGTTGCGCGATTCCTCCGTCGGCACGTGGGACAGAGCGCTTGCTGGGCGGCTTGAAAGCAGCGTGGACGGGCCACGTTCTGTGGCAGATGATACTATCGGAGGACTTGCTTGCTGAGCTGCGGTGACTGGAGAAGCGTTAAGTGCAGGAGGGTTACCTCCAAACAGGCAGGCTCTTCGTGCTGAGATCTGCCCTGGCCCTGGACTTCGTTGCTTGCACGTCACGCGGACAGATTTCTCAATACAGCAGACAGTAGTTGGTAGTTGGCAATGCAGTATTCCCACACACCTTTTTTATTGGGAAAACGACACAACAGGGTATACCCTGGTCGAAAAGCGACACACCTGGGTACACAGTCATTAACAGCAGTAAATGCACTCATATCATTGGTCAGCGCCCAATTTCACCCCGGTACGTCCGAAAAGGCGCAGGGTATACCCTGCCGTGACTACTTTTCTCAGCAACTGCTGTACCCTGTTTTCGGAGATGTACCCTGACCTGACGGGAAAAAAGACCCTTTCATCAATCATTTCCCCCGCAGGAATCTTCCCAACTCCTTTTCCCCTCCACCCATGGGATACCAAACGGCGAATCTTCCCGCCGAATAACAACCACCATGGCAACGGGGCAGGAATCAGTTTCGGCCCTGCGAAACAACACCAACCATCACCTCTTCCGCTCTAAATCAACAACGGAATCAACAATGGCCGGGCAACACCCCAGCGCAGTTGTTCCGTTTGGAAACATGCACACATGCGTACAATACCCCGTGGACTACTGCTTGCTGCAGTCTATGTGCGAGATGCACGGGTCACGCTATGAAAGCAAGACCGATCCAGCATGGTTGACATGCATATGCATGTGCCAATGTGTGGCGCTGTGCTGGCGGCGAGCTCGCGCCCGCAGAGAGGGGAGAGGGGAGAGGCAGGACCAGTACACACAGACATGCCCTTGACATATCAATCACGCACACACGAGTCTTATCCTTACTCTAGCAGCAGGACACTGCTGTGTCGTCCCACTCAATCACCCTCCCTGTCGGTAGAAAGAAGAAAGAGTGCTCGCGTTGTATTTCATCGTCTCATCCCGCATTTTGCCTGACGTCTTCTTACTACATTGATTGATTGGTCGGCTTGGTTGGCTGGTAAGCGTGTCCGCTACTGCTACAGCAGTAGTTCAAGCAAGAAACACATCGCAATTGAGACACAACAGACAACACACGCACGCACACACGGCACATCGCAATTGAGACACAACCGACAACACACGCACACATGCATATGCATGTCAACCATGCTGGATCGGTCTTGCTTTCATAGCGTGACCCGTGCATCTCGCACATAGACTGCAGCAAGCAGTAGTCCACGGGGTATATCGTACGCATGTGTGCATGTTTCCAAACGGAACAATTGTGCTGGGGTGTTGCCCGGCCATTGTTGATTCCGTTGTTGATTTAGAGCGGAAGAGGTGATGGTTGGTATTGTTTCGCAAGGCCGAAACTGATTCCTGCCCCGTTGCCATGGTGGTTGTTATTCGGCGGGAAGATTCGCCGTTTGGTATCCCATGGGTGGAGGGGAAAAGGAGTTGGGAAGATTCCTGCGGGGGAAATGATTGATGAAAGGGTCTTTTTTCCCGTCAGGTCAGGGTACATCTCCGAAAACAGGGTACAGCAGTTGCTGAGAAAAGTAGTCACGGCAGGGTATACCCTGCGCCTTTTCGGACGTACCGGGGTGAAATTGGGCGCTGACCAATGATATGCATGCCCCGAGCTTGTTGTGCACCATACACCATGGTGTTATTTGTGCAGACAGCACTTCAGACAGCAGTACGCTGTAGTCGACAAACATTCATTTTGGTGAAGTGCGGGACAAGGGGGGTGATGCCGCCTGCTGTAGTCGAATTGTAGTGTGTGGGCGTGTAGTTCAGTTGTGAGCACGCAAACGTGCTGCAGGGATTGTAGGTGTACCTCCTTGGGCTTGTGTACCCTTTTCTTGCTAATAGCGTGTTCTTTAGATCTTCTGATGGCTTTAGCATTTTTGTGACCACGGGCCGAGTCTTTGCTAGATTTTGGGATTAGCAACTGACACGAGTTTAATGTGAAGAAAAACAACAACAACAATGATATGAGTGCATTTACTGCTGTTAATGACTGTGTACCCAGGTGTGTCGCTTTTCGACCAGGGTATACCCTGTTGTGTCGTTTTCCCTTTTTTATTTCGTTTTGTTTTATTTGGTCCTTTTTTCATTTCAGTCGAATCCCCCCGTGTACACATACAAGTCTGTTCTGTGTCGGTCCTTGCTCTCGCTCGTTCTCTGTGTCTGATCTGGTTGGGTGCGCCCGCATTCTTCGATCTGTATTTCTCTTTCTCTTGAGTTGTTAGCTCTCTCTCCCTCCCTTCCTCCCTCCCCTCTGTTGTATGTATTGGACTTGTCAGGTTTGTCGCCAGGCGCCCTGGCAAGGGCGGTGGCAACACGCCGCTCTCAGCTACCAGGGGTACATCTTCGTGGTAGGGGGGTGGCGGGAAGGGCCCGGGTGCCTCAAGGACGCCTGGCGGTCTGCCGACGGAGTGCGGTGGACGTGAGACATTTTTCTGGCACCACAACATCGGGATAGCGGTTTTCCTGTAGCTCTAGAGTGTCTGGCTTAAAGTACTGCAGGTCGTCCTGTAGCTCCACACTGTATGGGTAAGTCTGATTTTTTACAGTGTGTGTGGTTACCCTTACGATTGGAAACACGCCGGCTCTTTTTTATCTCTTGTTGTCGGTGGTCCCCTGTCCAGTCTAGTCTGACCTGCTCTGAGCCCACTCAGCCCACCTACCCACTTCACCATCGACTCTTCTTTTCGCGTGTGTGTTTCGTGTGATTTTGTCCACGAAAACCGCAGCAAGACGTGCTCGAACACGCCCTGGGGCGGTCGGATGTTCCACTCCATGGTGGAAGCGAATGGAGCCATGTACGTCTTGGGAGGCTCCGACGGCCGCCAGAAGCTCAACGACGCATGGGTTTCCACTGATGGCAGGTGAAGAAAAAGGCGTTTTTTGTAGATTATTTTTTGTCGAAGAAAAACTCTGTCTTGTTTGATTTTGTTCTTGGAGAAAGAGGCGTTTGTTGTTTCATTTGTTTTCTCGGAGAAAGAGGCGTTTTTGTCTTTCTTGGAGAAAGAGACTGTTGTCTGATTTTGTTCGTGGAGAAAGAGGCATTACTTGTGTCATTTTTTTCTCGGAGAAAGAGGCGTTTTTTCGTCCGCCCATCCTGTGTGATGTGATGTGATTGTTGCGAGGCCGGGAGGGGGGTCTTCATGGATGCGAGGTGAAGAGAAGGGCGTGTATTTCCAACAATAGTTGAATGCTATTTGTTGTAAGGGCGTTTATTTTTCTTGCACTCGTCCCCTTATGCCCTTTTATCCGGTCCGGGGTTCTGTCTGAAGGGGGGGTGTACTCATAGCCGTGCATGCCGTAGTCGTTAGACCGTTGTCCTCGCATCCCTGCAAAATCGGGACGGAGCACGCCGGGTTCTCATCGGGCCAAGCTCTCCCATCACCAAGCGCGAAGCGCCGTAAGGTATTCGGCGAGTCGCATGAAGGGTACGCTGCATCCTGCTCAGGGTGTTCGGCATCTTGTGCTTACTTCCTTGCGTGCGGATAACAGCTGCGAATGAAATGGCTTTGTTTCAATCTGAAGGGAGGACGAGGTGTTTGGCGGATGTGTGCGGGCAGAAACCGAAGCCGCTTGACATGCAAGCAAACAGTGGACCTAGTGTACTGCAAGGCAACGCCGTGTTGGCGAGAGGGAACGAGTTGCGGTCCAGCAGCGGATGGATAACGACGTCGGCTGTACCGTCCTTTCCTGCACCGCAGCCGGTCGGCGAGGGAGCGGGGGGCGAGACGGCTAGCACGGCGGCTTGGCCGGACGGGTTCTCGCTGCATTGATGCTGATGCCAGCGTGTATCGCTGCTGCTGCTGTACTGCTTCTGCTGCCGCTGCTGCTGCCGCTTCTCTCTTAGGAGCCGATGTGTTCCTCCCGTTGCTTCTGCTTCTGCCGCTGTTGCCTCTGCTGCTGATGCTACTGCTGCTGCTGCTGCTGCTGTTGTCTCCCGATGCCCCCTTTGCATCTCGCCAGCTGTAGCCGGTGCTCTCTCCTGGCAGAAAACTACCCCAAAGCAAATACTAAATACGAATTTTCATTGGCTGCGCTAACACAAGTGCTCTCTCCTCGTTGGCCTCGCATCTGCAGGGATTGGAACCTCGTGACCCACGAATGTCAGTGGAGCCCCCGCAGCGGACACGCCTCCATCTGTTTCGAGAACTCCCTGTACGTGATTGGGGGCGAGGGCAGCAACGGCAAGCTGAAAGACGTCTGGCGCTCCGAAGACGGGGCACACTGGACGAGGATCGAGGTGAGGCTGGGGGGGGGAGGGGGGGGGGGTGTACTCATGGTCGTGCATGCCGCAGTCGTTGGACCGTTGACCTCGCATCCCTACAAAGCCGGGACGGAGCATGCCGGGTTCTCACCGGACCAGGCTCTCACATCACCAAGCGCGAAGCACCGTGAGGTATTCGGCGAGTCGTATGAAGGGGGTGAAAGAGAGAGAGAGAGATGTGGGCGTTTGGCTCGACGTAGATTTTTTTTTGTTCCTGGAAGGGTTGTTTGTGTTCTCGAGGCGTAATTACACTGGCGCTAGAGGAACAATCATACAGTAATGTTTGCGCCGGGTTGTGTGCAAGAGTGGCCGACATGCTTGGTAAGCCCACGCTGTCAAGTGTGAGGCCCATCATGTCTGTTTCAAAGTCCGTCATGCTGGCTCGCTTCAGGGCTGGAAGGAGGTCTGTCGGTGCTTAGTGCATGTGTGGCTCCTTCGCTAAATAAGACCGCGCGAAGAAGCAGCTTTGCCGGCGAAAAGGCGTCAGTTTTCGGGTGACAGTTAACCAAACAATACAAGAAAACGAATAAAGAAAACGCGCACGTGTATTCGTTACTTGGAATCGACCATGCTATCCGGCTGACCAACGACAAGACGTCAGTCCCACTTCGGCTAACAGCGGAAGACGCTCCTAATGGCCACGGCCTGAGGGGGCACCGTGAGGAGGGGTCATGGGGGAGGCTAGGCTATTCCCGGGACTGAAGACACTGCTGTGTTGTGTTGTGTGCGTCTTGTCGCAGGAGGATGTCCGTGTGGCGAGGCAGGGTCACGCCGCGGTTTGCCACCAGCGGAGAGTGCTCGTTCTCGGCGGAGTTTCTGAGGGGACGGAGTTCATGAACGACTGCCTAGCGTGAGTTGAAACCGATCGTTGCGATTTTCCGTTGCTGCCTGCCGCGTCTGTTGTTCGGTGTTGTATGACAATCGAGCTTTTCTTTGGGGGCGGTGGTGGTGTCGGGCGGTGGGAGTGTTGTTCTTGGTGCAAGGACAAGCGCGGAGTGTGGGTGATGGTGGGTGCTCCTTTCGTCCAGCTTCTATTGGTCGGCGTGTGTGCTGGTACGGATCAGCACGCGACACGCGGCCTCATTTTCTGCTCCACAAAAGGGCGACGCTGCTCGCTCGACGACGTGTCGGCAGCGTTGCATCGATTTTCCTGCACGTTTGCACAGTATGTTGTCAACATCCTCCCCTCCCCCACGCGTCCTTGTTACGGGACGGAAATGGAACGTTCCATATTTCCCCCCAGAGGCGCATCATCCGCACAACTCACGGCGGGTGCTTTGCGTGAGCAAGGGGCCAGCACAACGTCTACGGGAGCCAGCGACGACGCGGGTTCCTCGACCCGCAGTCACGGCGCTACCGCACTGCTGTTTCCTCCCCCCCCTGTTGCCGCCATCGGCAGCGATACCCCCGGTGCGATACTCAACAACGGTACTCTCGTCGTGGGTGGCGGGGCCGCGTTGCGGAGGCCAAGCTACGGCGGCGGGGGAGGGAGGGGCAGCGCCACCTCCTTCGGGTACGCCGAGGGCGGCGGTGGCGGCGGCGGCGGGAGCGGCGCGGCTCTTTCTCGCCGCCCGAGCAGCCGCGCCTCCAGACACCAGTCGATGGAGGATGATCTCTGGGGATGGTTTGGAGACGACCGTCCTCCGTCGGAGACCGCCCTCCACGCCATGGCAAGAGGCGATGCGGCGGAATCCGCCGCCGCCGGCGGTATCGGTGTCAACGGGTCGGCGGCGGAAAACGCTGGGGTGACGGTCAGCACGCTGGCGCTCACGGAGCGCCTCGCGAAGCTCTCGGCGGGCCGCGTGCTGCTGGACCGGGTGAGGGCGGACACGCGCTCCCTCGCCTCCGTTGTCACGTCCGCTGTGCACAGCGCGTTTCTCGGTGAGGGGGTGGCCGCCGCCGCCGCCGCCGCCGCCGCCGCGGTGTCGGGAAAGGCGGTGACGGCGCAAGTAAGCTGTCCAGCTACTAGAGCGGTCCACTTCACGGCGGGATGCTCGCCGCCCGGGGGGAGACAGCGGCTACGGTCGGGAGCGGAGGCCGGCTCTGAGGCGAAGCAAAAGGAGGACGAGGACGAGGACGAGGAGGAAGGCAAAGAGAGCGGGGAAGAGGTGGCCTCCTCCGTCGACGAGAACGGGTCTAGCGGAGCGTCGGGGTTAGGGCTAGCCGCCGCCGCGGAATCGACCGGAGACGACGAGAAGAGCGGGGGACAAGCCGGTGGCCTTCGTCAGCGGGTGGTGGAAGCGAGGGCCGAGATCGAGGGCCTTCAGAGGGAGATCAGGCGGCTAGTGCGCGGGGGCGGAGAAGGGGGGCATGCGGAAGAGACGAGAGCGCGGGTGGCGCCGCTGGTGGAGCGGAGGGCGGTGCTCGCGCCGGCGGCTCGAGCAGACGCCGAGAGGATGGCGAAGCGTTTGCAGGAGATTTCGGAGGCGCAGCAGGTAGGAGAAGCAAGCGAGGCGGCGGGATGGTGTGTTGTGCTTCGCGTTTGCTGGTGCTGGTGCTGCTGTAGCTGTGGTTGCTGCGACGTGGCGCTGTGGCATTCATCGCCGAAAATTATCGCCAGAGCCTAGCCCCTCCAATACCATTTGTGCGCAGCTTGTGTTCGTCGATGCAGGATAAGTGATGTCAGCAGTAACACTCGCCACAAAGACAAGCAAACGAGGTCGTACTCCTGTCCCATCCGCGCTACCCCTCGTGCAATCGCACGGCAGTCGAACCACTCCAACGTGTACTCCGGTACCCCTCCCTTGTCCCATGCGCTTTACCCCCTCGCGCAAACGAACGGCAGTCGAACCACTCCAACGTGGACTCGGCGATGCGGGAAGTGGAGCGCCGCGCCCGGACCGCCGGCGGCCGCGTGTGGGCGCTCATCCGCGGGCAGAGTCGGCAGCACTCGAGCCATGATGACGACGACGACGATGACGAAGGAGACGACGGCAACGACGGCCTTAACCCCGTCACCGAGGGCGGCGGCAGCGCCGGTGCAGGAGGAGGAGGAGGGGGAGGGGAAGCGACGGCATCGACGAGAACAGCAGGCGGCGGCGGCGGCGGAGGCTTGTTTCCGTCCGAGCATGATGGCGGCGGCGGCGGTGACGCCGCGGCGCCAGAGTGGGTGCTGTCGCGGCTGGAGCTGACGCGCATGCGGCGGCGAGGCTCCTTCTTGGATGGCGATGAGGTTGGACCCGTCAGGGCGGCAGCCGCGGGTGCGGAGGCGGCCGCCGTTTCCGCCGCCGCCGCCGCCGCCGGCGAAGCAAGCACGGCTGACTCTTTCGGGCACCTGGCGAGGCTCGCCTCCGTGGACGGCGACGGCGACCGGCGGGACACCGACGAGGCGGTGTCGGAACTCCGAGACGCCATGGAGCAGCACTCGGCGGCGCTCTCGCGGCTGGCGGGGTGGATGTTCAATGTCGCGCCGCCGCCGCCGCCGCCGCCGCTGCCCGCAGGCGGCAGCGAAGCCGGCTTGATGGCTGCTGCTCCGATGGAAAACCATCCCGCAGCGGTAGGAGTCGAGGCGCACGGCGATTTGCCGTCGCCGTCTTGCCCGGGCCCAAGCGGCGAAAGCGGGTTCGAGGTCGCGGGGTCGTCGAGCGAGGAGGATGGGGTGAGGGCGATGCTGGAGCTGTCTCGAGAGTCGGACGTGCTCGAAAGCCGGGTCAAGCGGGAGCGCTTCAAGGCCCACCGTGCAGCAGATGAGGAGATACACCGGACCCCCGAGATGTACAGGGAGGCGTGCGCGCTCGGGAATGCTCTGATACTCAAGGGGCACGACTACCTATCTCAGGTGTGTTGGGGTGGCTTGCCGTTTGGGGTTGGTGTTTTCTCCGGAATTTCGAGCGCGGTGTTGCGGAGATCCACGGATATGAAAGGCAGGAAAAGGGTGTGTAGGCTCTTGCCAAGCTTAAAAGCTCAGGGCCCAACTCCCTTTTCCCCGCGATGTGCCTCTAGGCATGGCATAGTGCGACCCCAGGGGGGTATGGCTCGTTTTTCTAGGTCGTTTGTTTAGTCTTGAAAGTGTGACTTGGTAGTTTTTCGGTAGCGATCCCTGTATTACCCTGGGTGAATAAGGGGTTTCGCCCTGTATATATGGCAGGTGAAAGCGCGTGAGACAGATGGAATGTTCATGGTGTCTCATACCACTATACGTAGAGACGGCTGTCCGGTGTACGTCCAGCGAAGTCCCTTGGCGCTATCTATGCCGCTTACGCAGGTGACCAATCAGTATTGTGCCGAATTGTTGAATATCGTGTTTTCATTGGCCTGCTAGGCGCTAGCCGAAGCCGGCCGCGATTCCGCCGAAGCTTCCATCATGGCAGAGGAAGCCAGCGCTTGGGCGGGGACAGTGGGCGAGCTTGTGGACGCGGAAGGCCTTGCCGCTAAGGGTCTGGCCCTCAAGGCCAAAGTCGAGGAGCTGAGAAACAGGTGAGCCCGCCGCCGGGGTAGACAAGGCCGGACAGAGGGAATGTGTGCATTTACGTATTTACACAGCATTTCCCGTGATAGAACACCTGCCCCTTTTCATGCGAAAGACATTTCTGACACTGCATGCCAGGCACATGACAGGATGAATGAAGTGGCTAGCCATTGTCGATCTACTTACGGCTGTACAGCATAGCATGAGGTTTGGTTGACACGGAACGTTGAAGGAGTGGGCGAAGCGGAGGGTGAACAGGGGTAGATTGTGTTTCTCTGCAGCGACCGGGACAAGTGGGACCGGACTATTGTAGCAGGGCTTCAGACGGGGGGCAAGGGCGCTCAGGAATCGCTGACTTTGAGATAGAAGCCTTGATCTAGCACGTCCAACTCCCCCCCGTCTGTGCCCCAAAACAAATGGATGGGTCAATCAACAGCGTGCTCGACCAGGAGGATGTGGTGACCGACTGTGAAGGGGCCTTGGACAAAAGGCGAAGGAGGGGCGCCAAAGCCGACGAGCTCGAACCGCTTCAGGTTTGGGACCGATGAAAGTTTCGTGGAGTGATTTTTTTCTCTGTGGCAACGAATTTTGTGCACGATATTTTCCCTACGTGAACGTAGAAGCCGGCGCGTGTTGGGAATCGGTGCGAGCAACACTGACGAGCTCGAACCGCTTCAGGTTTGGAACGATGAAGGTTGCGTGTAGTATTACGGGTGGAAATAAGTTTACTGTACGATGTACGTGCGCATCAGGTTTCATACGTGAATTTTAAAGCCGGCGTGTTTTGTGAATCGGCGAGAACGTGGTTTAAGTGTGTCGTCGTTTGGCGACTTGGGAGATTGTGATTGGCGAAACGTTATAACGTTTGTGGTGCCGTACAGGGGGAAGACGACGGTAACAGTAACTGCACGGACAACAACCACGCCCGCAACTACGCTATAGTCTAGTCAGCGAGAACAATAACGCCGCCTCCACAACACCACCACCAACATTAACATCAACATCAACATTATCATCAACAACAACAACAGCAACAACTACACCAACAATGTCAACAACAATGTCAACAACAATGTCAACAACAACAACAACAACAACAACCACAACAACGACCACAACAACGACATCATCAACAATACAAAGCAACAACTACACCAATAACATCAACAATAACAACAACAACAACAACAACAACAACAACAACAACAACAACAACAACAACAAGGACGACGACGATGACGACGATGCCAGGCGGCCTTGACCTCCGCCGAGAAGGCTGCACGGCGCGCGAGACGGGCGGGAAGGAAAGCAGCGGCGAATGCGGCGGCCCTGGCGCACGGTCTATCTCCGGAGATTGCTCTGGACCTCCCTGAGGCGCTCAATCCCTTGATCGGGAGGCAGAAGGTGGGTGGGGCGTAGGTGCGTGTGTGTCGCTGTTTTAAGCATCGCGTCCTCAACACCTCTACCCGATGTCTCTTGGCTTGTCGTTCATTGGATAAAAACATTAACATTCATCGTTGAACCGTGATTACTAGGCCATTTTAAACCGGGAGCTCTCCGGCGTTCCCTCCGGAGCGAGTTCACTGGAACGAAAAGAGCAGGTTGTTAGGCTTTCTTCAAACAGAAAAAGTAAATAAAATGATGTGATTACACCAACCAGCTGATTACACACACCGGGCTAACAACTGTTGTACATAGTTCTGGAATGGCTCTTTTTCGCGGGTGCACCTCGAAAAAATATTGAGAGCTCCTCGCGGAATATTGCGACGTGAGAGAGGAAAGGGGCCGGGAGGAAAGCAACCATGCGGTCCGTTCTGAGGAAGGGATTACACGGATAACATCGAGTCGTGTCCCGCGATTTTCCTATCCGCGAAAAATGGTGTTGTTGGTTTTTGGCCGCGACTGACATTATCGTTCGGGATGCAGGGCAAAGGCCGCACTGACCGGCTAATCAACGAAAAATGTCGGTCTTCGCTCGGCTGAAAACAGAAAACGCTGCTTAAGGCTTCCATGATCTGGAACCCCGTGGGGGGGCGTCATGGGGGAGGCTGTGTGTGCGTTTCGTTGCTTGGCATCGGCCGTGCCAATCGGCGGATGAATGTAAAGGGGAAGACGCGAGTCTCAACGCCACGGCCAAGAACATGAAACACTTCTGCAGGTCATGACCTGGAACCCCGTGTGTGTTTTTCATGATGGGTAACGAAAAACATAAGCAGGTGGTGCAAGATGTAAGCATAGCGGAGATCGACCTCCCCCTCCGGCGGCTGAAGGAGTACGAGGCCGTGAGGGCCATGGAGGACGAGGGCTCCACGGGGGGGGGTCAGGGCCGGCATCGCATCTTCCTGGCGGAGTACGACGACGAAACCGTCGTCCTCAAGGGATACGCCCTGGCAAGTATTTTTTTTTTATTTCCGTTCCTTTTTTTTTTCGAAGGAGGTAGGTATAAGTGTACTTCGAAGCATTTCGTATTTCTAATTTAATCAAATATTTTTGGAGGTTTGGGGACACAAGAAATGTTAAATACGTGTTCAATTTAATTGAGTATTTGTTTTCACTTTATTTGGAAGACACCTGTATGCTTACTTTCCGTCGTCCTTGAAAAACAGCTGTTGGCCACCCACCAGTTTCGTGTGTCATGTATGTATGTAGTACATTGCGAAGATGATGTAGACAACATCGCTCTGCAAAGAAGAAGTAATTGTTTTGGAGTGATATTTTTACTGTATAATAGTAAGCACGATCAGTTTTACCGTTCTTATGGTATTCGTTCATGGTGAAACCGTTGTGGTTGAGGGCTATATCCCCTGGTGCTGGTATCAATCGTCACGCCTCTCTACCACGGTTGCAGGCGTTACCCCTCTGTGGGGGTTCGCCGTAGACTGCCGACTGTCGTGCCGAGAGAGAGCCTATGTGCGGTCTTCTTCTCGCACCACCCGTTAGGGCGGAGCACCAAGTAGGGACCACGGGATCGCGAGTTTTGATAGCTTTGTCGAGGACCGACAAGCGACGCAAATAGCTAACTTTCATGGCGTTTTGGTAGCTGTGCCGAGGACCGACAAGCGACGCAAATCGCTAACTTTCATGGCGTTTTGGTAGCTGTGCCGAGGACCGACAAGCGACGCAAATCGCTAACTTTCATGGCGTTTTGGTAGCTGTGCCGAGGACCGACAAGCGACGCAAATCGTTAACTTTCTTGGCGTTTTGGTAGCTGTGCCGAGGACCGACAAGCGACGCAAATCGTTAACTTTCTTGGCGTTTTGGTAGCTGCGCCCTGGACCGACAAGCGACGCAAATCGCTAACTTTCTTGTGAACAAGGGTAGCAAGGAAGGCTCCTGGTCCCGTGTCTGGCCTGGCATCAACACGTCGATGTTTGCTCATGTAGCACGAAGATGATGTAGACAACACCGCGCTTCTACTTGAGAACAGTACAGTCTACGTTCTAGAATGAAGGAAATGAGTACCGACCGATCAGTGCTATTTTGTCGTGTTTTTTTTTTTTTTGTTACGGTTGAACCATGATGTTTTTTTGCAGGTGAACGCCCTCCAGAGACGCAGCCTAGAGCGGGAGCTGCACATTTTGGACCGGGTTCGACATGGGGCCATAATCAGGGCGGGGGCAATCGTCGAGGATGACGGTGGAAATGAGAACCCTATCCCCATGCTCTACATCGAGGTGAGAGTGAGAGGAGTTGTGCCGACAATCCTATCCCCATGTTCTACATGGAGGTGAGACTGAGAGACAGCGAGAGAGGCTGCCCTAGCCCGGTGGTCTACATAGAGGTGAGACTGAGAGAGAGAGAGAGAGAGAGAGAGAGAGGAGAGAGACAGAGAGGAGAGAGACAGAGAGAGACAGAGAGAGTGAGGGCTGACAACGCTATCCCGATGCTCTACATCGAGGTGAGACTGAGAGAGTTGTGCCATGGATGGGTGTGTGCATCGTGAGGTAAATATTCTTGTTTCTTATGGGTGCGTTGTCGTCGATGTCATGTTGTTTTTTCGTTAATTTCGTGCTTTCCGCGCTGCATTCTAGAGGATAGACGAGACCATAGTTGTCCTGTTACCGCTGATAGGGTGGCATAGCGGAGACAGCAGTCCGGCGGCGTTTTTCATCTCAAACCAACCCCCCGTTCATCGAATGTGAATGCTGTGTCTGTTTAAATGTGGGCACCATCGGTGTTGAAAAAATGAAATAAACACACACGACAATCGGTAAAAAAAAAAAACGTGATGAAGGGAAGGGTCCGTCTGCTTGTTGGTGTGGGTACCGCTAAAAGACCACTACCACATCATGGTGGAAGGTTGGTTGAAGGCGGGTGGTTTTGGAGGCGCGTAGGGGTACAGTACCGCGTGCATCCCAAGCCCCCCGTTTGGTCCAGTTGAGCACGGAGTGTTGCCTTGCAAACAACGTGCGCATTCCAAGTCTAGTCTTGTCGTTCATCACCAGCTGTTTTTTTTGTCCGACGGGGAAAAGGATTGCTGAACAAATCAATATCGCGCGTGCTACGTTGTCATGGCATGGTGGGTCGCAAAGGCGTGCGTCGTTCTGTGTGCGGCCAGGCCAACCCCTCGTGCTTGCAGCGAATTCGCCCAGAGAATGCGCCGAGACGTTTAAAAAGACCCAGACATCCACCGTAGGCGGCGGGGTAGCGGAACAGATGCAAGTGTCTCTGTCATGTTGCTTGATTGTTGATTTCCAACAAAAGAACATGGCACGAAATAAATGTTTTGGCAATTCCTACAACGCTCTTTCGTCGTAATACCACTTGGTCAGCTTCCGATGCACACCCGCTCTCTCTCCCTCCCCCTCTCTCTCTCTCTCTCTCTCTCTCTCTCTCTCTCTCTCTCTCTCTCTGTGTGTGTGTATCTCTGCCTATCTGCCTCTCTGTCGATCTCTCTCTCTCTCTCGGCAAGTTCCCCTACTGCGCCCAAGGAAACCTTCGTCAATGGTTACAGGCCCGACCCAGACAGCCGTGGGAGCTGCAAGAGGCCTTTCGACAGGTGACGTCGTACTTCATACTTCTCCACAACAGATCAGAAGAGATCACAGAAGTATGCGTAGAACAACCACAGAGTACGTGCTTCGTGTGGTTGAGGAGAAGGGTATTTGTCGTTGCGTTCACCGGTGCTTGGCATCCACGTTTGTTGCCGGTGTGGTCTTGACACTCAATACCGTTCCTATCTCTCCACCCAGTACCTCCTTCTGTCCCTGCTGGTCTACCAGTTGACGCTGTCGATTCCCGTGGCCACAGGCTAGCTTAACCTAAAAAGTGGTATACTTAAATATGTTGGAACCAGGGTTCCGCATGGCAGTTCCAATCCTTTGATTGGTGTAGACACAGCAGTTTGTGTATGAAGGGGGGGGTTACCCGTACTCTGGCACGAAAACGGCGTTTCGACCGGCGTTGAGCTGGTTCGTGAGGCTGGTAAGTGAAGCCCACTCCGACCGATGTGGGGTTTGGCTTTGCCCCCACTCCGACCGATGTGGGGTTTGGCTTTGCCCCCACTCCGACCGATGTGGGGTTTGGCTTTGCATCGTCTTCTGCACGAAATCCAGCGGTTCACCTTTTCGCGAGGACCTTTCGCGTGGTCATTTTTACGAATTTCGGCGGTTTCATCCTTTTCCGCCGACCCTTTGTGTCATCTTGCGCGACTTCCTGCTGTTTCCATCACGCTCTGCTTGTTTTTGTTTTTGGTGTGCGTGTAGGACGCCCTCACAATTGAAGCAACCATCGCCATCGTTTCTGGGTGTTAACGCGAGATTTTTGTTGTTGTTGTTGTTGTTGTTTGGCGTGTTTTTTCATTCGTTTTCTTGTTTTGGTTCCTCTTCGGCTCGCCAGGTTATGTGCGCCGTGATGCACTTGCACGATTCGGATGTCATCCACAAGGATATCAAGGTGAGATAGGAGCTTTTGGAGAGGAACGTTCTCGGTGCAGCAATCATGGGACAGCTCTCGCTGGCGTTTGTGTTGTACTCGGCTAGCCCGAATCGATTGCTACTCTAGCCCACCCCGCCTTTGCCAAGAAGTTGTCCTATCCTCCATCCTCGTCAATTGGACCGGTAGTGTGCAGACACCGGGACGGTTAGATGTAAACATTGTTCCACGCTGGAGGGCATTTGGCGTGTCGGTTGCAAGCTGCTTTTGGCCTTTGCCTCCGGCCTTGCCCCAAAGCTCTCGTCAGGTCCATGAAACCCGACGTGCTCGTTGTAGCACAGGGGAACGAGTGTCTAATGGAAGTACTCTACTTACCACCACGCACGATAGTAACTACCCCCCCCGGTCAGCCTAGCCCCACGGAAAACCAGCATATCGCTCCGTTCCGGCATTGCGAGGACAATGGTCTAGCAACTACGGCATGCGTTTACAAGAGTACCCCCCCCCCTCCTTGCGCCGCGTGATTTTCTGCACCAGCGGTCCGGCGAAGGCAGCTGTCTTCAC